GGATCACAAATTAATTAGTTGTTTGTGAAGGAGAAAGCCCTTCAGCAGCTTTGATGGGGACAAGCCAGGCCCCAGGTGTCTGAGCTCAGCCCCTGTAGCTCTGCAGAGGCTGAGCCCTGCTAGTGTCAGCAGGAGGCGGGTCTTTCAGGGTCTGTAAGGAGCCAGAACTAGGGAGGGAGCCTCCCCTGCTTGGCAGGTGGAGGGCTCAGTACATCCACATCTCAAGAATGTCCAGGGCTGCAGGGAGGCCATACAGGGAAAGTTTGCTACTCTACTCTGACACATGGCCTGTGCACCTGCCTCAGTTTCCCCACACAGACCTCCACCCAATTTCTAAGCCTGTTTGCCCCCTGGTTTCATGAGGGCTGGGCTGTCCACTCTATATGTTGAGGACTCCTCAAGCAAATTGCTGGGCAGCCCCTATTTATCTTTCTCTTGAGGCCTCCAGCCACTCATGACAAGAAATCATGACTTGTTCATGATTGACAGTGTCAGACCTTAGGCATGCCAGGGGCTGAGGAAGCATCCAGGGCTCCAGCACTAGGTTCTTCCCAAGGATTCTGGCATTGAGGGGCTGGTGGCTCATCCAACCCCTTTCCCTGCTTGTGTGTGCCATGCACCACTTGCTTCATGGCAGGGCTCTGGGCAAGCGACTTTAGCTCAATGAATATTTATGAGATGTTTTTCTAAGTCTCAGGCTCCTGTGCCAGGCTCTTTAGGCACATGAATGACCTCTCTCGATGCATACAAGTAATGAATGCAATGGCAAGCAGAAACACCAAAATGATACCCAAGATTTGGAGGCAGATTTATTTTATGTCCCACAGGCACTGATTGGGATCATTTGCAGAATATCAGGCTGTTGTCTCTGGTGGTCTAAGGTTTATATGGGATAAGAAGCAGGAAGTACAGAGGCAGGATGGCTTGTCAGCTGGGAACTGGTTCTTACAGTATGTATCATAGTGACCAGTTAGGCATCACACTGAGCAGTCGTTTCTAGGAGACCAAAGCAACCAGAGCTACGACAGGAACTATTACCTGGGCAACTGAAAACCTGAAGTATATTGGCTGGGGGAGGTGGGGGAGTATTTTCTGTTACAGTGAGTTATTATTATTCCCATTTAAGAGGCAAGGAAACAGTCTTGGGGATTAACTTGGGTCACACAACTAGTAAAGAAAGCAGGATTAGGATTTGAACCAGATGGTCCAACTGCACAATCTTTTCTTTTTTTGGTTAGTTGAAGATAATTAAAATGGCACAAAATGCATAGCACATGTTCAGTTCAGTGAGTGTTGATAAATGATTTCACCCTTGAACCTAGTCCTCCGCAAAAGACATAGAATGTGACAGTTTTTTCCCTTGCACTGAGGATTTAACCCAAAATTTTTTCATGGAGCTACATCCCTAGCCTGTTGCCTCCTCCCTCAATCCCTTTATCTCTCTCCCTCTCCCTCTCCCCTTTTCTTTCTTATTTTGTGACAAAGTCTTACTAAGTGCTAAATCGCCCAGATTGGGTTTGAGATTTTGATCCTATGGCTGCCTCTTCTCCATCAATTTCTGCCACTTTTCCTTGCTGCATGGAGGCACCAATGTTTTGACTGCTGTCACCATAGATAAGTTTTGTTACTGGATTTTGGAGAAATATTACATAGTGTTACTTTCACTCCACTACTGACATGCTGCACATATCAATAGTTATTACTTTTATTACTGAGTTTTATTCCATTGTATGGATAGGTCACAGGTCAATTTGTTTATTATTTCATTTACTGATAGATATTTGGTTTGTTCCAGTGTTGGTTGCTATGATGCTAAAACTTCTCTGTGAAGGAGACCACCCTGTTAATAGTGCCCAGAGTAGGCTGTAAGCAATGCAGGCTATAAAGAGTTAACCCTACAATTGGTTTGGTGGAGTAGTGAGTCAGGCTGAAGCCCATGTGACTCACCAGAGCACTGCAGATGGCGTGCAGATTAGCATTATCTCCCCACCAACGGCCATAGCAGAGATGTGGTCTGTGAAGCTGTGGAGCTCTGATCCAACCCAGTAGCTGAGGACAAGTGAGTCTTTCCAAATTCCTTTCCCAGAACTGCAGTTTATTTTACTTGAAAGATGAGTTGGTCTTTAACCATGACCTGTTCCTGGTCTATTTTGTGCTTGTTGCAGGGATGTTTTGTTCCCTCCTTCACAAGCCCAGTATCCATCAGTGTCTTATCCTCCACAACCACACATAGCCTTCTCACCCGGTTCTATAGATTATACAACCAATAAATACTGTGGATTTGGCTGATTTGGGGTCTCTGCTCAGCACTGAACACTGACCATCCCAGTTCCCTATTTCTCTTTTATCTTGTCTCTGAGTTTCTCTTGTAACTTTGTGTCCTAGCACCAAACAGGAGATTAGGATCTTTGCTGAGGGTCCCTGATAACTGGTGCCCAATGTGGGACTCAAACTCATGACTAATTGTCTGTCTGGTGAAGGCCACTTGAAGTGTATGAGGGGTGTTTAGATGATGTTTAGACCTCACATGATGATTTCAAGGATGCTTGATGAGAAAGGAGGTAAGAAAGTATTCTTGAATGCATGTAGGTCTTTTCAACTGGGATTAAAGCATGGTGCACAACAGGACTTTGTCTGAGTTTTTCTTTGCAACCTTGTGTACTATAGCACCAAACAGGAGATTAGGTATCACTTGCCAGGGTCCTTGATATCTACAAATATTTGTGTACAAAACTTTGTGAGAACCTATGTGCTATTTTCTCCTTGGTTGATGATTAGCATGGGACTGGTATACACTTAACTTTATAATTTCCAGACATTTCCTAAGGTGAGTGTACAATTTTACACTATCACTAGCAATGTGAGAGGATTCCAGTTGTTCTACATCTCTTGCATTGCAGAGAAAGGAAAGAGCACTTGAAAATGACCAGAGCCTTGGGTGCAATGTATCAGGGAAGAGCACATGACCTGTCATGATCAATGGGCAGAGGGAGTGCTGGCTGGTGAATTGGAGAGCTTGCTAAGCTGAGACCCTAAGATTTCTGATATGGCAAGTGAGAGACAGTTTTTATCTGGAAAGCAATGGGAGAGTTATTGGAAGATTTGAAGGAGGGGAGCACGTACTATTAGGAGCCCACTGTCAGCTGCTAAAAGGTGGGTGAGGCCAGGTACTTCCCAGTGAGGTCTCTGAGACATTGGTCCAGGTGAGAGATGACAGAAGCCTGGCTTACCTGAAGAGGGTAAGGAGTGAAGGGGATGCCTGCACCTTGTCCTCTTCCGGGGTAGTTGCTGAGACATCACTGGTCATAAAATGAGAAAGAACACAACGGTCCGTGATAACACAATAGCAGACTCCATCTAAAAGAGCAAAATGATGAATCTAAAGGAAAGAAGCATCCTGCCCTTTAGGTGGTGACAAGTGGGATCCAGAGTGTCTGACTGGGAGCAGATACAGTCATGCCCTGGCCCCAGAGAGGAGCTTTGGCAGGAGCCAGTGGTGAGACTGGTACAGAGGCATGAGACAGGGAGCTCATGAAGTTCAGTGAGCTTGGAGTCAGAGTCTAGGGGATAGAGCCCATTGGCATATGACATTTTGCATAGCCAGACAGACATGGGTTTTATCCATGCCTTTCTTTTTCTTTTTTTTTTATCGGTACCGGGGATCGAACTCATAACTGCCTGCTTGCAAGGCAGGTGCTTATGCCGCTGAGCTAAATCCCCAGGCCCTATCCATGCCTTTCAAACTTTGCTCTTGATTAAGCCCCTGGATCAGTCACAGACTTCTTATCTCTCAGCTTCTGCCAGGGCATGTTTGGGGCCTTGAGTGCCAACATGTTCATGGAGCACTTGGCGTGGAGCTCCACTCCGTGAGCCGGGATTCCAGAATGTCCACAGCAGTCACCCCTGAAGCTTCTTCTGGCTGCTGCCTCTCTGCTGCTGCCCCCGAAGCAGCCCAGCACAGCTGCGGGAGGTGTTTCCCAGTGGAGCCCATTCCCAGTGTCCGAGTACCTTCTCCTGTGGCTCACAGTAGGGGCAGAGTCTCAGGTGGGGCCTTCGTAAGAGTGATTTGTGCTCTTCAGCAAAGCTTTTCCTGCCGTTGTTCTAATTAAATGAACATCATCCTCTGGCAGGTTCTCCAGGCTATGCATTGCAATGGGATAGCTGGAATCTAAAGGCAATTTCTTCCTAAGGAACTCTTTTACAGGTCATTCCCACTGTACCACTGCCATGGAAAAGTCCCAGACTCTGTCCTATGCATGCCTCGAGACTCCAGCTCACTAGGTCTCCCAGTGAGGCTCCCTTGAACAGTTTGGATGGAGCAGCCTGGCTCTCGGCACAAGGGCAGATTTTTCTCTACAGGGTGGAGACCGGGCTCCTTGCCTGCCTGTGGAGCCATGAGGAGCTCAGAATGGTGCACAGTGCTGAGATTGCCTGAAAAACGCTGTTACTCTGAACACCTGCAGGCACCCTCCCTTTCCTCCAAGGCAAAAAGAGGCAGAAAACTCTGGTAAGTGACTTAATAAGCAGCTGTCATCCGCTTAACAATAGTATTAAAAACTATCAACTATTTAGGTATGGGAAACTGTGGAAAAAGCTTTTAGTAGCACTCTTAAAGGCTGCATAGTGTCAATAGTGGTGTTATTAATTTCCAGCTCCAAGATAATATTTAAAACATTGGTTACCAAAGCCCTGTGGGTGAAAAGAACCTTCATAAACGTTCAGATTCTGAGCTAATGAAATTTCCAGAGGCCTCTGGGGGGCTGTACAGACCCTGCCTCCAGCACTGCCTGCTGTGGACTGTCTCAGCATGGGCTTTGGCTCAGGAACCAGGCCCCAGAGCAGTGTCCAAGCTTCCTGATTGGCACAGTTGACTTTCCCCTTCTTTGGCTGGAAGCCTTTTCGGCTTGGAATCACTCTCTCCTGTTGCTGCTGCCCGTTATGACCACTAGAGGGAGCCAGGGTTCTCAGCAAAAGGCTTCTCTCCCACACCCTTGGTCCCAGGGAAATTGTTCTAAATTGAGGATTTTCCATGCTGCATTCTTAAAGAGGATCCTAGCATGGGGACAGGACTGGCTGGTGTCTGACCTGGAAAGGTAGGCAACGTTCACATAGTCCCTGTCTCTGAACTGTGTTCCTCCTGCTAATCTGCATCTTAAAGAAAAACAATTTATATTTTGAGAGGCATACTTCCAGCTTTGAAATATCCTCTTCCAAAAGGCCTTCCAGAGGAGTCCCCCGTCATCTGTGACCACCTAGGCTTTTTGGAGGCTGCCTGGTGACTGCGCAGAGCCTGGCATTGTCTTTTCAGCAAGAAAGAAGCTTAGAACTGCAGACTCCCTTCGTGGTCCTCCTCCCTCTTCTCCTCTCTCCCTGCTTCTCCTCTTAGGGTCCCCCACCTTCATTCATTAAACTGGGGACTGTGTGCTGGTGCTGTTGGAGCCAGAGGATGGTGCGTGTGTGTGTGTGTGTGGACGTGTGCGTGTGTGTATGGTGGATTAAGAGCAAGGAATGACTCCTATGTTCAGTATAGTGATGCAGGAACTTGATTCAAGGCTTGAACATTCACTAAGTGTCCATTTGGGAAGCAGGAGTATCAGGGAAAGAGAACAGGTCTGGCAGCAGAGTTTCAGTCTTCGCTCCATCTGGAAGAGCTAGTGTGATGTTGTGTGTCTGTCTGAGACCTGCTGGCTCTCTATTTGCTTATCTGTTAAGTGGGGCCAGGCAGCCCTAGGGCACTGCAAGGCTATACTGAGAATCACATATGGCTGTGGGAGAGGGGCTTTCTTAACTGCTGAGTAAGCATCACCTCAGTCATGAGGCCCTCTAGGTCCTCTTGTCCTCACACTAAACAATTATTTCCTTGGGCAGCTTCCAAAACCTCATCTTAATCCAAGTAGAGATGATCAAACACTATGGTATGTGCTTTGAAATCACTGATTATATGAAAGACCCATTGCCATCCATACTGGGATTATGGTAGGTGGCACTATGCCTGGCATTTTGCTTCTGTTTGAATGCAGAGTACAGAGTAAGCAGGAAGGACCCAGACAGGCACCTTCTGCGATGTATTCAGTATGATTTAGCTCGCTGTTTTTCCTTCCTGGTTACCATCTATGCTATTTTACATGGCTTTCTTTAAATACATTTATTTAAGTTAAAAATAAAGGGAGTCAGTTTAAAGAAAACTATTAAATAAACGGTAGTACAGGTATAAATGTGGAAAAATCCTGATGCTCATCCAATCATGACTGGAGAGGTGTTGAGAGCGCAGGTGTCTGACTCTTCCACAGATTTGGCCTTGGGCCTCTCTGAACCTCAGTTTCCCCATCTCTAAGTGGGCCTAATAACATTCTCAGGAAGGTTGCTGAGGGGATCAAATGAGGTAATGCATACAAGTGCTTAGCACAGGGCCAGGCACACAGAAGTGCTTGCTCCTTGTGTGTTATTAAAAGGCTGGTTTCCAGCAGAGTGGCTGGGAATGTGGGCCACAGGTGCAGAGGAAGAATCCCCTGAACGGTCCCTTGTGCAAATAGAGGATGCAAGGCAGCGGGACTGAGAAGTATCCAGGAAGCCCAGAGGGCACCACATCTGTCCCACCCCAGACCCCACGCGGGAAGCTGGGGCTTTCTGGCCCCTGGCCTGCCATTCCAGCTCCCTTTCTTTCTTTCAAGATTTAATTCAGAATTACAGGTGCTCTTCATGAGATCCTGGCCTCGTTAACCTCAGAGATGCCTGGCCTTCAAGTCCATGTTTTCTACTGAAGTTCATTGTAGAACAGCTTCAGCTGATGAGAATTACAGTCATCTTCCAACTCACGAGCAGAAGGGCTGCATTTGAGAAATGTTGATGAGCCTTCTCATTCATTCATTCACTCATTCATGTATATTTATTTAGATTGTACCGGCTGCTAGTATTGTAGCCTTTGTTATAATCACAGAATCTTATCTGTGCTTAATCTGTGCTCTCTGGCACAGGCCTAATTTCAGTTCTTTAAACTGAAGCAAAATGCAGAAATTCTAAGGCATGGTCCTTGGATCAAGCCAAGGATTCTGTTATTCATTTTCTTCAGGTAAATTCAGGTCACATGCATGCATTGCTTTGCATCATTTGTCCATGTGGATTGATCTTGTGGTCTCTTTGCTCAGTTTGCAGCCTTCAGGTTGCAGAGAGCGAGCATGCAGAGCTCAGGCTTAGGCATGTATGCTGGGCATGGCGGTGGCGCCAGGCTTAGCCCTTCCTGAATCAGCTTTTGCTTGCTTCCTACCCCAGGCTGCTCACAGCACTCCATGCCCCGGACGCTTCTTGTCTCCAAGCCTCTGTGCATCCTGTTTCCCCTTACTGTGTGCTGCGCCCCTTCCTGGATCTCTGTCTTTTATCCTCTCGGGTTCTGAGACATTTCATGCCTTTCTTTCTCTATGAAGTTTTCCTGAGACTTTGCAGCCCTCTCTTCTCAGGGATCTTCTGGAATCCATAGTTCACATCATGCTACGTGGCTGCTGTCCCTGAAACATGGGCTCCCCCACAGCCTCAGGCTTGTCTACATGGGCAGGTGACTCCTGGGGGTCCAGATCCTGGTCTTAAGACTAATATTTTTTGGATAATATTATGCATTATGTTTGGTATATTTCTGGCCATGGGCTCAAGCCCGCCCTGGCCAGGCAGCTGCTGTACTGATCTCATTTCACCACAAGAAATTAAGAGGCATGCAGGTCACACAGCAGGAAGAAAGAGAAGGATTTGCACACTGTGGCCTGGCTTCAAAGCCCCGGTGCCCTCCTCTGCTCCACCTGCCCTTCTCTGCAGCATAGTGCTAGCCGTGGTGGGTGAGCGGGGACCTGAGGAAAATGACAGTCCTCAAAAAGTCAAGTTGGTCAGTAAGGGACTGAACATGGAAATCTGTCTTGGAGGACATTCAGGGATGTTAGCTGTTGTAGATCAGAGCTGCTGCTGCTTGCTATGGATGTGTGTGTGTGTGTGTGTGTGTGTGTGTGTGTGTGTGTGTATATACCTATATGCGTGTGTGTTACTTTGTCCAAAGCTCCCCTCTGATTACCTTAACACTCTCTTCTGTCACCAGATGCTGTCCCTCCTATGCTTTAATTCAAAGCATTTATTTATTTTGCTTTGCTTTATTCCCTGAAGGATTTGAGGTGACCTGCAAGAAAACATTCAATAAAGTCATAATAAAATATAAATAAGGACAACAAGGGAAGACGCTGTTCACCTCATGATGCTGTGTTTCCTCCATCCCTGGCCTTTCACGATCAGGCTGTCTTCACTGCATGTAATCCTGAGGTGCAGAAAGGTCTTGCCCTGCACACTCTCTAAGCAAAACACATAGTGCTTTGTGTCTCTGCAGTTCCTGTGCGAAGACTCGAGGTTTCCCTGGGCTCCTGGTGCAGGCGTAATCAGTAGATTTGCTTCCCAATCAAAGCTGCTAATTTGAAAGGCGAGTTTCTGCCAGGCTTTCTGAGCTCTCTCATCTTCCCCTCTTGAGCAGCCTCCTTACGGCGAAAGGGTGGCTCTGTTTCTTTGTGTTAACCTGGTGGCCTTGCAGGCGTGAGGACAATGTGATCAAAGGACCGATGTCTCCATTCTTGCTAGTAGAGCAGCAGCAGGTGCCAGGAGCTTCTGTGTGGGCTCTGACCCCCAGCCTGGCACCCAGAGGCCTCTCCTCAGGGACAAGTAGCTGTGGATGACTCCTCTGTGCTGCAGAGTCATGGGACAAATGTTCCTAGTTCCTTCTGTCCTATGATGCAGAATGCTCTCCTGTTCCAATTGGCTTTGTTTATCTCAAGAAATGGTGTCAAGGGATCCTCTCTGAGCCCTAGGCCCTGTGGGACCAGGAAAAAAGGGATGGATGCTGGATGGTGCTTGCTGTGCTGCTTTGGGGTCTGGTACGAGGGAGGAGAGCTGGTGTATGTGACCCTGGGGGACATCTCAGTGGTGGCTATGGAGGTGACTTCCTTCTTCTTCTCCTGGATCAGCTCATTAAAAGCTTTGCAGCTTCATTTGGGGAGGCCATATGCCTATAATGTGTGACTGTGTAACCAGGGGTACTGAGATTACACCCCAGGTGGCTCTGGGCATCAGACTTCAGACTATTTGGATAAATATGCTGCCTACTTTTCCTTGGAGGACTTAAAGAGTGAGGTTGGAAAAACGCTAAAGGAGAGGAAGCTTTGGACAGGGCCAAGTTGAATTCCAGCCTTACTCTCCATCTACTCAGTGGCCTTAGGCAGGTACTAGATCTCCGAGCATCTAGAACAGAATTCCCCAGAAGAGATATTTGGGGATGGCCAGACATGACCTTCACAAAGTCCTGGCATTGAGAGGCCCCCAGCACACTGCGACCCCCTTTCCATCTCCTCATGCTTGGAGGTGGGATATTGTCTCAGCAGCTGTGCTGTTAGAACAAGTGGCTTGGGTGAGCAATTTGTAAACAGCAGGATTTACTTTCTCTCTGTCCTGGAGGATGGAAAGTCTAAGGTCCGGGTGCCTCTGATTCAGTATCTGGTGAGAGTTCTGTCTGTTTTCAAGGTAACACTTGTCCTACAGGGGACAGAAATGGTGTCCCCATATTGTGGAAAGGTGGAAGAAATGGAATGGAAAGCAGTTATCTGAAGCTTCTACTCTGAGATCATTAATCTCATTCATAAGGGCTCCATCTTTTAATACTAGCACTTTGACAATTCTGTTTCTAGACACTAATTTAGGACATGCAGACCACAGCAGGTCTGGGTAAGATGATCTTTGAAGATTCTTCCTGCTTCAAAGTTGCAAGGCTTGCACAGAGGTAATCCTGGTATGCTTTGAAGAGGACGTGGATGAGGTGCTTGCCTGTCAGCAGCCTGACTTTTGGATGTAGTCAGACATGAACATTATCTTAATGGGAGCATTTGACCTGGGTGCATTGAAGTGGATTCACTTGACAAGCCTGGGGGTGTATGCAGTGGAGGTGGAGGTTAAGGACCAATAGGAGTTGGCAGGTGGAATGAGCAGGAGAGGGGGTATTCTAGACATATGAAATGGTACAAATAAAGGTCAGAAACAGTGAGGTTTCTTGGTGTGGAGGAGGAGTGCAAAGATTTAA